GGCCCCCTCTTTTCAGTTTTTCATTTTCAGAATGTCCTCCCAGTGAGATGGGATGGTTCTTTCCAACAACCTGGCACCGATGGCATGAAATCCAACATGTTTCACAGCGGGACACTAACCCACCGCCCGCACATGAGGATGGCCAGGCCTGAGCACGTGTACGCCACCTCCCGGAGGAGGGAGGCTTCCCAAGGCCAAGAGGACTTTCAAAGCCACAGGCCTCAGCACCAGTTCACCCTCCCAGGCAGTCCCCCAGAGGGCAGTGCTGGGGCCAGGGATGGGGAGGGTCTGGGTGCGTGAGCTCCTAGGTCAGACCCAGGAAGGGGAATGGGGGCAGCTACCAGAAGGGGCCTAGTACTCCCCACGTCCCTCCGCCCCCACCAGCCCAGCTCCTGCACATGCTCAGTGGGGCCCACAGGTTGGGTAGGCTGGGGAAGGGTATTGACTGGCACCCCCACTTAAAGGGCCAGTGCCACACTAGCCTACTCCCCGAAGGGGCCATGGAGCCTGGCTACGGACCTCTTTCCTCATACTGAATTACTGCACCGCAACCTCCTGTCCACTCCCGGCCAACTTCCTCCTGACCCCTGGGTTCCTCTGCCAGGCCCACAACCTCTCATTCCCTGCCTCTCTACACAGTCACTGGGCCCAGGAGTGTGTTTACTGCGGCGGGGAGCCTTTGGATGGATGGGGGAGAAAGGGGATACCAGACCAGGCTAGGCCGGAGCGGTTCGAGTGTTGGTCATCGTGCCTATGAAATACTGCCCCTCTGGTCCTCTCGGCCCTGGCCCCCCCAGGGACCAAGAAGGTCCCCAAGCACCTGGGCTGGACAGATGTAAAGCACTGGGCAGGTCTGGGGAGGAGAGGGGGGGTGCCCCCATGCCTGTGAGCTCAATGCCTGTCTGTAAACTGGGGTGCCCAACCATCACGGTGGGACCGGGCAGAAGTCACAATAAGCCTTGGGACCAAGCAGCCCCTTTCAGAGAATGCCCCCTTGGGAGGGTCTTTCAGGGAAAAGGCAGAGCCTGCTCTCCCCAGGAGGGACCCTCGATCCCACCCCAGCTCTGATGGTGGTTCCCTCCCTCTACCCCCACCCTCACCCTCACCAGCCTGGGAGGACTAAAATAAGGTGACCAGATTTAAAGTGGGACACCATTGAGGGGTAGGGGGTGGGGAGTGTGTGTTCTTGATTAAAAATTTGGTCTATATGGACCAATAGACCGTTCCCTAGCTTGTCATGCATTCTTTCCAACAATCGGGACTTCTTTAAAATGCCAAAAATCAGGATTGTCCCGCCAAAAGCGGGACGTCTGGTCACCCTAAAAAGTCATGGTGGAAGGTCAGACCTGTGAGGGGAAGCCTTCCTCGCTGGCCTGCCCAGCCCATGCCCCTCTCTGTGGGCTTCTTGTGCCGCTGTCCCCACCGGCTTGTGGTGTGTCCTGGCCCAGAGCCCTTCGGCCATTTTCTGTGTGCATGTGCTGGGAGTGGGGAGCGGGGAGCGGGAGGAGAGGCCAGCAGCTGACTCCCCCTCCACAGGCTCTTCCAGCTTCTAGGCCAAGCAGGGCCCAGCCCCTCACCTGCCCCCTCTCCCCTGGCACTGAGATAGCCCTCTGGAATCTTCTCCCCCCCTCCCCCTTCTAGTTAACACACACATTCACACATGCACACTCACACGCCCCCTGCCTCCGTGTAAACAACCTTCGCTGGCCCTCCTCCTGCAGGCATGCTCAGGAATGCAGCAGCTGCGCTCTGCCAGGCGGCCTTCAGGTCTCAGACCAGCTGCAGGCGGGCTTTGGGTGGCTTCCCTGTTGTCTGCGCCTTGGTTTTCCCATCTGCAAAGTGGGGACGGCCACCCCAGGCCCAGCTTTTACTCCCAGTCCATCCTCTGGGAAAGCCCTCTCCCAGCCTCCCCGGGGCACCTCCTCCAAGGATGGGGCTCTCTGTCTCCCTGGAAACCCATCCCTTCCTAGAATCTGCCATGAGCAGCCTCTGCCGGCTTCAGTCCAGCAGGCAGGCGAGCAGGCGCTGGCTGGGCCTGGGCATGGCAAGCTCTCCTGGCCTCGTACCCGGTGGTTCATCAGTCTTTCCATCCCAGCAGCCCCCAGGCCGAGCCGTCTCTTGCCCAACGTGGCCTGTGAAGATGAGCGCCCGGAATGGAAGCCAGGCTGGGCTGCTTCCCCGCCCCCTTCTCCCTGTGCAGAGGCTCACTTCCGAGTTAACTAATGTCCCCTCTGCCCCTGCTGTTATCCACGTGGCAAGCCTACTACATAGCCCTGCCCCGCAAGTTCTCCTGGAGGCTCCTGGAAGAGGCAGGCTATCTCCAGACAGGTCTGAGTGAGGGTCTTTGGGCTCCTCTCAGACCCTGACAGGGGCTGATCTGTATTGTCTAGGCTGACCCTCCCTCTGTCACCCAGAGGGTGAGGGGCTCACACACTTCGGAGGGAATCTTTGGGAGTGATGGGGCTCCGGGGCAGGCAGCATGGAGACACAGGGCAGGCATCAGGCTACTGTCATCTTCTGTCTCGTGGCCTTGATTTTCCAACAGAGGACACACATCCTTTGAGGGGCAACTTGTAAGTGCCCTTTCAGGGTGAAAGGGGGCAAACACGCGCTGACTAACCCTCCCGGTCCTCCCTTGGAGACAGAGTATGTGGAGCGGGCGGGGCTGTTGTCAAGAAGAAAAACACAAAATCCAGAGAGCTCATCTAGCCCACTCGGCAACGACAGAAATGCAGGGACCCTGGGCACAGCGCAGGGCTTCCTGGGTTCCATAAGCCATTCAGTGCTTGCCTACCACACTAAGGTCGGTGGTTTGAACCTAACCAGGGCAGGGCTGGCTTAATCAGTAAGCACAGGACTGGCTGGCATTAGGCAAGGTATGCACGAGCTTCATTGTGCTTGCTCACTAACCTACAGTGGACAATTTCTCACCTGGAGTGAACAAGGTCCCTGGGGGTCCACCCCATCTCAGGAATTGTGCACACTAGATAAAGGAGCAACAACGAAGCCCAGGCCTACTGTGCTTGCTGGGTAACCTGTCCCGGAACCAAAGGCAAGGCCGGAGGTCTGCGTGCGGATGGAAGGTCCCGGCCCTGACAATCCGGTGGAGCACTGCTCGGCTGGTGGAGCACCGCTCGGCTCGGCAGCACTCGGGGTTGCCTTGAGGTGGAATCAATCGGATGGCAGCTGGTTTTTTGGCTTGGGGGGCAACCTGAGAGAATCCCTGGAGCAGAGTCCAAGGAGCCCTGTGGTTGGGCTGTCTCCTGAGGCCCTCGCCTCTCCCAGCCTGCTGCCATCTGCTCCCTCCCATCTCTGCAGCCCCGTGGGGAAAACCCTTAGGGCAGTGACCACTCCAAGACCCAGAGAGGGGAATTCAGGCATCCTGGGCCCCTGAGAGTTTCCCAGGCCCCAAGTCTACTGACCTCCCTGGGAAGACGGAGCAGGCTGAGGGGCTAGCCTGCCCTTCCAGAGGCCGTGAAACAGCAACACTGGCCACTCCTGTTCGGTGTCACCAAGTCCTTTTAATGACAACAGGAAAACTAAGATACGGTCAAGGAACAGACCATGGGAGTGACAAGGTACAAGACGGAACCGCTCTCAGCAGTGCTCCAAGGGCACAGGGTGCTGCCACCTGCCTCTTTGAGACCCAGCTGACCTGAGGAGGTGGGAAAGGGCATCCTGGCCTCGGCTCTGCAGGGCTGGCTTCCTTGGGGGTGGGGGGTGGGGTCCTCCTAGGAGCCCGGCTCCTCACCGAGGCGGCCCCCACCCTTCTGGCCCCACATCTCGTTCTCCCGCCGAAGCCGCTGGTTCTCGGTTTGGAGCCTCTGCACCTCAGCACTCAGCTCCTCCACCTGACGAGAGGGCTGCTGGCTGGCAGCGCGCTGCAGCTGCTGCAGCCTCCGCATCTCCTCCTCGGCCTGCGACAGCCGCCTCTCCAGTTCTTGGTAGTCCCGCACCAGCTCCTGCTTGCTGCGGCCCTGCAGGCTCTCGGTGTGGTAGCCCTCATAGGCCGCTGAGAAGTCCCTCTGCAGGAACTCGCCGTGAGCCTGGTCCCGGCCGTCGCTGTCCCCGGCCTCGCTCTCCCCGCTGGAACCTGGGTGGGAGACCCCGTAGGGCACGTCCAGGTCGGGCTCCTCGGGGTCACGGTCGTTCATCAGGAACTGCGTGGTGTTGTACGGGGCCACCGGCTGGCCCTTGGCGAACATCTCCTCTCGCACCTGGGAGGCCCGCTGGCTCTGCCGCTCATCCCTCTGCTGCTTCTCGGCCCAGCTCAGCTCCAGGTAGGGCCTCCAGTGCCGCCTGCGCTTCGACGGCCGCCGACGGTGCTTCTTCCGGCCCAGCACCGCCTCTGCTGAGCAGGCCCCTGGGCTCTGGGCCCGGGGACTCCGACTGGGCCATCCCAGGCCGCCTCCGGCAGCGGTAAGATCCTCATCCTCCGAGTAGCTCTCCATCCGAGGTGTTGGGGGCAAGGAACTGCCGGGGTCCTGAGGCTCAGAGGGTGTTTCAGGGCTCCCAGGAGCCCCAGAGCTCTGGAGAGAGAGGCAAGGGTTGGGGCGAGGGGGAGGAATCACAGCAGCCCGTGCCTTCGGGCAGAAACTTGCCCTCTCCTCCGAGCCTGAAGCTACCGTTCCCATGGCCAGCTAGCCTGGTCTTACCCTTCTGCCACCATTTTGTCCACGGAACCTCACCTGTCCACCCCACTCCACCTCCCAGTAAACAGGCAGCAAGGTCAGGAACTCTGCCTGCGTGATGACCAGAGGCTGGCACAAGGGAAGTGCTCAATAAAACGTTTCTGACTGAAGCAAGCGAGGGAAACACAACACCGGGATGGAACGTGGCCCCGGTTCGTCTGTTCCATCAGAAGCCCAGGCGGTCCTCGCTCTTCTTCCAGCCAAGGGGGCTGATGGCAAAGGGCTCTGCCCCGGGCTGCTAACCACAAGGCCAGCGGTCCGCAACCCAGAGCGCTCTGTGGGAGGAGAAAGAGGAGACTTTCTACTCGGGGCAAGAGTTCCAGTCTCGCAAACCCACAGGGCACTAGGAGCCAGATGGACTGGGTGGCCGAATTTGGTGTTTGAGTTTTCTCTCTATCTAGAGAGGCTGGCTTTCAGACAGGGCTGGCTTCCCAGCCCCACACTTAGCCTAAAGCCCTGCTGTCACCAATTTGAAATTCTGAGTAATTTGTGAACAAAGAGCCCTTTTTCACTGGGCCCTATAAACGATGTAGCCGACTTTAATTCCAGATACCACTTGGATAGCTGACTCTTCTGCTGTCCTTTAGGGCTGAGTTCCAAGGTCACCTCTTCAGAGGCCCTCCCAGACAACCTACCCCCCTCCTATCTCCACTCCCTAGCGGTCACTCAGTTACCAGTTACCGTGCCACATCACCACTGTTCCTCCGTCCCCCTCCCATGTGAACACATCTTGTCCTTTGGGGTCACTGCTCTCAATCCTTAGCAAGATGCAAGGCGAGCAGGTGCTCAGTGTTTGTTACATGACCCGCAGCCTACAAGAGAGGGCTCCCCAAAGCTCCTGGAGAGTGAGACTCTCCTTTCCCTGGTTCCAGGGCAGTGTTTCCTACTGTAAGTGACACCACCCGTGGTGGAGGTGCTAGAACAGCGGTTGTCAACCTGTGGGTCATGACCCTTTTGGGGCGTTGAACGACCCTTTCACAGGGGTCGCCCAATTCAGAACAGTAGTAAAATGACAGTGATGAAGTAGCAATGAAAATAATGTTATAGTTGGGGGGTCACCACCACATGAGGAACTGTATGAAAGGGTTGAGGCATTAGGAAGGTTGAGAACCACTGTGCTAGAAGGATCTAGGGGGCTGCAAAGCAGATACCTACTCTTTATCCTGAATTATGGGCTATAGTGCAAATGTTCATTGCCAGGGGATTACTGAGAAATTTTTCTTTTCTTTTTCCCCTTGAAAAGGGGCCAGTAGGACAAATAAGTTTGGGAATCTAGGTTGTTGAGTAGGAGGGGGTATATTTCTTGTGAGCAGGATCTGGTATATCACCCTCTCCATGCGGGAAAGAGGTTCTAGTGGGGAAGAGGAAGAGTCAACCTCTAGTCTGCAGCTGAGAGAGTTCCAGAATGTATCTAAAAGAGAGAGGGGGTGGGGGGGAGGCAAAGAAGGCCAAGGAAGCCAGGGAGGGAGGGAGTGGGAGAGGAAGGAGGGAGGATGGGAGAGAAAGAGGACTGGGAAGAGAATGGGGAGGGCAGTGGAGGGGGGAAGGGGGAGGCACCTCTGGCATCTGTTTATCTGTGTGCTGAGTGTGAACACTGAGTGTGAGGGGCAGGGAATGAATTGCTTTAAGTTTGTGGTTGGGGGTTTCTAATAATAAGCAGAGACTTTTTTTTTTAATGATCTACACCTTGGCTCAGAGACGTGTGGGTCCATACAGGGATAGGCTGTATATTGGGGGACATGGTAGATACAGGCTTGTAAGGGCTGGGGATATGCTCTGTGCTGTCTAGAGACCCTGCAGAGAACTGCTTCAGGGCAAAGGAGGCCTTTCTGTGGGCGGGTGAGTGTGAGTGTTTGATGGGTGGTGCTGTTACTTCCACTGCGGGATTCATCAGTCAAGAGCAACAGACCTTGTTTCCCTCGGGGGTCACTGGTGACAGAGCCACTGCCCAGCCTAGGATGGGTCAGGCCACTAGCAACACCAAGGCTAGTGTGTGTCCCCCACCAAGCCAGACCTGCCTTTCAGACCCAAATGTACCCCCACCACTTTATGGGCACACCCAAACACGGCGAGGTTCCAAAGCCCAAGGTGTGATGCAAAATTCACCATACAAAAATGGAAGACAACTGCCAAACCACTAAGAATCCCAGCCCAAGCAAGTTGGCAAACAACTGTTAACGTTGTTACTGCCAGACCTATGTATGCTGTTAATATGTGTAAGACCAGGCCGTATTTAAAAAAAAAAACTATTGTTGTAATTGTGCAGTTTGATAATGAGACAGTGGTGAGGATCTGGTGGACTGCAGATAAGGTAGATGACTTGAGTGAGTCATGAGCCTTCTCGGAACCTTCTAGCCCCAACACACCATAAACTCTAAGTGGAATAAGAGATTAGGAAGAAAGGCCTGGTAATCGACTTCTGAGCACTTGCCAACAGAGACCCTGTGGACCACCATCGTCTGATCTGCAACGGGAGCGTCTGCTGTGTACAGGGCTGCCGCTGAGTCAGGTGTTAGCTTGAAGGCCGTGGACAGCAGCAACCGGATGAGAAGTTGACATCCTGGGCCTGATATGGCTGGCCTCGCCCCTCTTTCCTGAGTGATATGCTACTCCCCACTGCCACCCAAATGACAGGTCAACGGTTCAAACTCTACTTCCTGCTTTAGACTTGGTTCTCAGCCTGGACAACATACAAATGTGCACCCACGCTCTGGGGCCTTGAGGTTCTTTATCAGAGGGATTTCGGTCCCAGCCTGCTAGCAGACTGCATAATTCAGGACAAGGTGTTTTTGTTCTCAACACCTCCGCTTCTGGAAATGGGAGATCCTATTTCTTCCCATCAAAGGCTACTAGGAGTTCATGAAATAACATACATTTAGCAAATGGCATGTCGCCTACCATGTAGTGGGGATTCATTAAAGAAAAAAAATGTAACTTTTCCAAATCGGCCCACACACCTGAGACAGCTGAGAGGAGCCAAGTTGGGTGGATGGGAAAGTGGGGGCTTACCTTGGCCTCCTCCATAGCGGCTGGTGAGTCTGTATTACAGGTGGGCCTGGCTGGGCGAGGCCCCGTCTTCTGCTCCAATCTCTGAGCACGGACCCCTGGGGTAGAGAACAACAGAAACCTATGTCCTGAGGCAGCGTTCTCGGGAGGGCGGCGGCCATTTTGGAGCAGGCCAGGGCCACACAGCCTTCATTTGCAAAGGCCGGCCCTGGAGGCCGCCAGCCCAGGAGCCCAGGGAGCCCAAGGGTCCACCTTCCCAGCGTGGCACCCCAGGCCGGACTCTATGTCCTGGACTGCCCTCGGGGTGGCCGGGTGGGTGAACAGCGAGGCTCCCGAACCTACGCAGTTGGGCCAACAACCAAAAAGGGCACAAGGAGGAGGCTGCGCACTGACTGCCTAAGCAATGGCGCCAGGAGACTGGGAGTGGAGTGGGCCTCGCCTCGAAAACACGTAGAGCACCGTGACGAGGGGTCCTTCCCCGACCCACCGGAAGCCCCAGTCCCGGCTGCACCCCCGCCACCTGCTCCCCGACTGGGGCTCCAGAAGGCAATGGCTCTTGAGGCGAGGCTGGCGCTGGGCGGGGCGCGGGGTGAGGCTTCCTCCACTACAGAGCCTGGCTGGCCCCCCTTTCCTCTCAGGACTGGAGGCAGAGGAGCAAGGAAGGTGAAGTTACCACAGTCCATGCAGGGCCAGGGGGACCAAACTAGGATCCGATGGACTCCTTGGAAGAGGGCAAATGGCCAGGGAAGGACATTATCCGGAGGAGGGACTGACCTATTTGCTGCCAGGGGTAGCGCGCACGACTACATCTGTGTGTCTTTTTGTGCGGCAAACTGTCTGGGCAATTCCCAACGTCCAAGCCCTACCTCTTGCAGTGGTTGCAGCGACTCTGGACGAGCCGCTTGACCCCTAAGGTCGGCGGGGGAGGAGACAGCCCGAGCGGCGCGTGGCCTGCTGGGGATTGTAGTCCTTCTACCCTCGGCCGGCCGGCCGGGCTCCTAGCACGTCCACAGCCACACTCCGGAACTCAGACACCCATCCATCCTTGCGCGAGGGCGTGGCCCGCGCTCACCACTTCCGCCCGCTGATTGGTCCAAACAGACGTCAGTATCGCTGCTTTCGTCAACGATTAGCTGTGCGGAAGCACAATCGGCCTCGCCTTCTTCAAACTCGATTAAAGAGTTCATTGATGGCGTTCATCTTGACGGGGCAACAACTAGATCCGGCCGGGTGGGCGGGGCCCGGGCGCGGAGGGATCCCTGGCCCTAGAGGAAGGCGACGAGAAGCTCGGTGGCCGCCGCCGCCATTTTGGGCTGGGAGGAGGCAGCGGAGGGACTCGCTGCGCAGTGAGAGCACCCCGTGGGGGGTGGTCCGGGCGCGGGGAGAGGCCGGGCCGAGTGGGCTGCCTGAAGTGGCGGCGCCGGGAGACGGCGGGGTGTGGTTCTGGGAACCAGGGTGGGGACACAGGTTGGAGTCTCCCCGGCAGGGCCCGGTCCTCAAACCGTCCCGGAAGCCCTTCAGCCTCGCCTCTTAGAGAGGTCTTGGGTGATTACCGCGTGCTTCCCGACCCCCGAGTAGTGCCGAGGCCGGGTGCAGCGGCCTGGCTTGTCGTTACACGAGGGCGCGGATCCGGAGGCCGAGCTCGGCCCCGTGGTCTCCCCACCCCCATCCGGCCGGGGTATGGCAGCCCGGCGCAGCGTAGCGGGACCCCCACCTCGATGGCGACAGGGGGCGACGCCAGATTCCAAAGGCTGGCGCCGCGGGGCAGTAGGGAGGTCGCAGTTCTGGCCGCGCGTCCAGTGCCCCCGCCCCCCGGGTCCACCCCTTGGCCTGGCAGTCAGGCTGAAGACTCAGGGTTCCTGGTGCGAGTATCACGTCCCCCAAGTCCATACACACGGGCTGCGAAAGGGACCAGCCTCCATTAACGACCACTGATTGCCCCTGGGGCCGCCCAGATCGGGCCACGCGGACACCTCCGAGTCCAGTGCTTGGGGATCGCTGAGCTCGCTGACCCTCAAGATTTCTCCCCTCCAGCCCCCATTGTGGCTCACCAGACACGCTGGAAGCATGCCGTGTGCTGCTTCTCTTGAAAGCTCACGCCAAGGGGATGGGTCTGTGCCCTTTCCAGAGTTGGGACAGAAAATAACTTAGTCGCCACAGCCCAGGAATAGAAATGGAGTGGCCCATTTCGGATGCTTCCGAGACATCTGTTAGCGTTTTGAAATCCGAGCCATAACTTTCACCAAAGCTTTTGGAGAAATGGCTGCCCATCTAAAGGGAAGAAAGAATTCATTCCAGTGCAGTCTTCATGAGGCATCAAAACCTTTGTGACTTCAAATAATTTTCTGCTCTATACTTAAAAAAAAAAAAAAGGTGTGTGTGTGGTGGTGGTGGTGGGGTGTTTGAGGTGGAGCCATTAGGGCATTCATTGTTCCTGGGAAGTCTCTGGGAATTCCAGGTAATCAAAAAGTCACTTCTGTAGGTCTTTAGATGCTACAGAAACAAAAATCACAGATGTTCGCAACTTCCATCTATTGAGGCGATGTGGCTTGGGGTAAGGGATTCTGCTTTGACCAAATAAAATTCTCAACCTCATAGTTGTAGCAGCTTCTTAAAAGACTAAAGCTTGAGAGGAATGGCATCCCAAACCAACTTGTTCCCTATGGCTTGCAACCTAGGTCCAGAGGAAGATTCATGACCCAGGAGCCCTTCAAATCGCCGTGTTGTGGCTTTTTTGAAAAAAGCAATGTGAAAGATGCTAGGTTAGGTGCTGAAGCAGGAGAGAGCTTCTGGGTGACTGGTAGTGAACTTTCTATGTGTGGGGACCTTGTGATGGTCAAATCATACCTTAATCTTTAGCCTTAATAGTAATCTCGGTGGCTCTGCTCCTATTCCAAAACAAAACAAAAAAACTACACACCAAACTTGTTACCCCTGAGGCAACAGACACAGAATAGCATCCCCTTGGGGGAAGAGAACTACCCCAAAGGATTGCCAAGGCTCTCATCCTTGTGTAAGTGGTTGGCGGTTTTGAACCCCTGACCTTTAGGTTAATAGCTCAACACTTAAACCACTGTGCTACCAGGGCTTCCTGCTCCTATTATTAGTAGAGTGTTTTGAAGAGTGCCAATTACCCCCAGTAAAATGATCTTTTTAGAAAAGTGACAATTCAGAGCCTTCTCCCTGGCCTCCAAAATGTTCTTGGAGAGTCTTACGACCCCAAAATGCTCTGCCAGCCAGTCATTTTCAACTCAGTAACCTATGGGACCCAATGGCACTACCCCTTCCGTTTGGGGACTATCCGGTCTTCACTCAGAAATAGAGTCTTAGGACCAGTTAGCATAAATAACATCTCTGGCTCAGGTTCTTAACCTCAGGTGTGAACCACATCTCAAAACTCTCTCAGTGCCATGAAGTCGGTGCCGACTCATAATGACCCTGTAAGCCAGGGTAGAACTGTCCCTGTGAGTTTCCGAGACCAACTCCTTTCGGGACGAGAAAGCCCCTAACTAACTTCAGTACATGCGTTCTTCTGGCCTCTAGTTGATGCCGTGTTCGTAAGAACTATTATTGAAGAGAAGATGTAGGTTGGGAAAAGCTGACACAAACCTGGTAGGCTGACAAGGCTTTTAGAGATGATCTGATTCTTCGGCCAGAAAGTTCACAAAGGAGAATCCCAGAGTGGTGATTGGTCCTCCATTGTGCAGTGAGCCAGTTACACCTTTGGATGCTACCAAGGCGAACACTCTACCAGGTGCAGACATGCGTTACTCATCTGTAATGTGAACGGGAACAAAACACTTTATAATGGTCCTTGGTTATCTAAAAACGGGCCCAGGAGTAAGGAACTACAAAGTTCTGTTTCTCTTTGGGCCCCTACTGACTCGGTTGGCTTGGAGACAGTCCAGATCCTGACAATGGGGCCAAACTGGTCATTTGTTGTTGGTCTGTTCACTTAGACCTTCAGCTTCCTTCTCAGCTCTTCCCTTTGAGTTGTGTGTGGTCTGTGACATATTTTCCCAAACCCTACGCGCCTCCTTTAACTTGTGAGGGCTGTCGGTGCTGCCTCCTCCGTCTGCGGAGGAGTGACTGAGCAGTCCTCAGTAACTGTGAACATCCACTCGCTATCACTTCGTTATCTGGGAACTTTAGGACTTCTGCTTCGAGGGCTCCTTGGGATGGTGAGGACATCTGTCTTATTGAAATGTAGATTAACTTTGCCCACAGCAGCTCAAAGAGTGACCAACCAAGTAGGTTGAACAAGGGGCAGTCTCACAGGGTGCCAAGCAGTCGCTAAACCACGAGGCCGTGGACATTGTGCATTTGCCCAGCGACCAACTCCTGGAGCCCCGGAGCCTGACGGCAGCAGGTTCCGTGAGCAGACTGGAAGGACTTTCAGCCACAGTCCCGCCCCTTCAGAGCGAAGGTGCTAGTTTCTGAACAGTTTCTTGCTTAACCTTCTCTAGTTCCCACCATCCTCCCTCGACTTTTTTTCTCTGTGCACATGGTTCAAATGATTGTAGGGTTTTAATAAATATGCTTGAAATCAACTGGGGAGTGGGCAGGAGTAATTTCTCAGGCTGTTTCTGCCCGCCAGTGTGGTCCTTCCAGGCCTCGGGTTGGTCGCCTGTCTTTCCAGACCCGCACGATCGTGTTTAAAACAGGCTTCAGGAGGCCACATCCTTTGCCTTCCCCGCTCCTCTTTTTGAAATGAGGACCAGTTCAACTGAGTTGGCTGCAAGATAAATGTTAATCTTTTTATTTTTGCAGATTCTTGTGTCTGAGCTCTGTAAAGCGCCTTCATTTTCCTTCTGGAACATCCTTTTAGCTCACTATAGACCCAGGGCTTTTAAAATGTTCACACACAACGAGTGGATCTGTCAAGTAGAATATAGCTTTAGATGAGCGTTTACAATTCCCTTCTGAATCTCTGCTCTTGAAAAAATCTTGTAAGTAAAATTGAACTGCTTTTGGTGATCCATGGCGGGGAGGATCACACGAGCTAGCGTGGGAGCTAGCTACGTCAGATGACCTGCAGATTCCGGTGGCAGCCCGGCCACTTCAATTGTGTTGGTGTGCTAAGGTTATTAGTCAGTTCTTAGGATTATTCCTGCCCATCTTGTTCTGTCTTTTTGTCATAATTGGACTTTCTAAGTAAAAGCCAAGAAAAATGTTGTTCGGGAGGAGTTGTAGAGCTAAGTTAGCTGTCAAAAGGGCCCTCCCACCCTACCCTCAGCCTTTGTTTTTTTCGACAGGAAACAGACTGCAGCGCTAAGCTTTTCCACTGTTCGAAGACAGTGGCACAGCTGGCCAGAGAGCGAATCTTTCCCTCCTAGACAGCACGTGCTTTTCAAGTTTTAAGGAGTACAACCATTCCTTTTTGGTCAGTGGACGGACATTTTCTTTTTCCTCAAAGCTACTCTTCATTTCTAGCATCAATCGTTACTACTCTATGTAAGATTATTGTCATGCAGTGGTGAGGTGGGGAGAGCCACTTTTCTCACAAAACGAGCCCAGCTGTACTGAGGGAAAGCTGCGACTTCACTGCAGCCACTTCCCTGCACTGTGGTCCTGTTGTGGGACAGGAAGGGGCACGGCCGGTAGGCCTGCCTGTGAATGCCTGTGGGGCACCACCTGAGGTTTGAGAGGTGCAGCCAGCCCTTGACATTCTCAAGTTAGGCTTGTGAATTGTGGATTTCATTTCTTATTTACATTCTGTGGGGTTCTCTAACTTTGGAAATCATCAGGGTAAATTTATCTTCATCCCTCTGAGCAGAGAATTTTATCCTGGATAAAGGAAACATTAAAACAGTAAAAAGTGGCCCACTGTGCTGGTCTTAAGCAGAACCCAGAATAAGCACCAGTACTTTTGTATAGGTCATTTCCGTTTTTTGTACATTTCATGTGACCATCTTTATCCGCTTGCAGCAGTTATGTGACGTAGCCCAGCAAGTGGGACCCCCCCCCATGTTGCTGCTGAAGAAACAGGTTGAGGCTGAGAGGTGCAATGATGTGTCCAGGGCTGGAACAGTCACTTCATGTCACAAGTGTGACATTACTCCTACTTGGGTCTAATTTTTATCATGTGATACGTCTTTGCTTTAGCAATACGTAGTGTATAGTTCAGAATTCAACCAATCTGGAACCCACTAACTTTCTCGTCCCAATAATACTTAGGAAAAACAACAAGTATAAGAATGCTCTGAGTCCTGACTCTTGAGAGCCTTCTCGTGTCCTTTATGGTGGGGGCAGACCGAGGAAAGCTGTCCTCACTCCGAATCAAGTGTCCAAGTGGATGTGTCAGCAGTCTTGGTGCCGGTTTGCCCTGAGCAAGGGAACAAACTGAAAACGCAGGTCCCTAAGCCTGGGCTTGTGGGCAGTTCAGCTCACATGCTCTGTAAGGTTCTGTAAGGTCATTTGTCATCACAATCCTGTTAACATAGATCACTTCAAGGCCTTCTCCCGAGGTGAAGAGTACAATTCTGGTCAAGTATTTCAATGTAGTAAGGGTGCTTAGAAAGCTGAAATACATCACACACACATCATCATCATCCTGAACACAAATGTAATAGACATAGTTAAACGCCCATGTCTGAATCTAGAAGGGTACATAAAACAAGGTAAATCCAAATAATTTGAGACAGTAGATAATTACTAGCATTTCTTAAAAGTCTGGATTAGATTTATCTCTTAAGTAACTTTTTTCCACCTTCTAATCATGAATGCAGTTTGAGGTTCTAAAATTCTTTGCAGAATTTTCATTTTTCCAATGGTAGGGGCCACACGATCTGCCTATTGAATCCACCTTACTAAGAGGAGGACTTAAAATCAGAGCTGCTCACTGCTGCAGCCTCCAGTGAGGTCCCTGGGAGGCGTCCCGACCTCTGCAGTTTTGCAAGGCTAGAGGGCAGTGTTGTTGCCTTTCCTCTGAGCAGCCAGGGCTTGGGGCTACTGCCTGATGTCCTAACAGAAGGAAAATTGAAAACTATTTCAAAATAGGCCTTGAAGTTTTTAAACCAAAGCTAGGACCAACCATAATTGTCTCCAGTGAACCATCTGCCAGCATAGGGCTAGCACAGTCCAGTTTTGTAGGACCAAGTCAGCCTTTTGAATAATTGACTTGTAAATGCTTCCTGTGCATCCTAAGGTGCATTTCAAGTGCCCACCTCCACTATTTCCATTTAGATTCAAGCCCAGGCTTCCCCACAGGGATGCATTTTCCCTCCCATGGCAGGGCTTTCTGGGGTTTGGACTTCATGATTCTGTGAACCCTAATGCCATGCTTCTGAGGCCCCAAGTTAAGGAGCCCCTGTGTGAGTGATTTGATTGAGCAAAGCCTGCGGGGTGGGGGTGGGGGGGCAACCACCACTGGCTAGGGCTGGTGAAGATGACTTAGGTGATGCCAGCAGGAAGTCTACCATTTCCTAATGGTTGTGATTCTGGGGAAGAAATGAATCAGAGGGTCTCCGGGGCAGGACACTCAGTTCAGTAGCTAGAGAACGGCAGCTGTAGAACCTGCAGGCTCCTTGTTCGGCCTTCCAGGACCTAAGTTGGTGACTCAACCAGACGTGTTACGTTATATTTGTAAGGGTGTGTGTGTGAGATTTTCTAATTGTCATTTGTCCCTTATGGAGGGAAAGGTACACAGCTCCTATTCCTTTTGGTGACAGGGTGGTTGTGGACACTGAGATGGTTCTGGTGTTAAATAATTATGGTAAGTCCCTAACAGCCATCTGGGGACTCTCTAAATACTCTGAATCTCCACATCTAAATGTCTTACCCCTGAGAGCTGTCCTGCAAATGTTTATCTAATTTAACCATTGCTTGCAAAAAAGGTTTACCAAGATCCTCTTCCAGTATCCAGCCGTGTTTGTTCCAGGAGTGTGTGTGTCTGTTTGGGGGGGAGGGGGTGATGAGTGCCTTGGGAGGAGGTGATTGCTGAAAAGGAAATTGTAGAAATGAAAACACCAGGCTGTCTGTTGTCTCACCTAGCCAACAGTCAAGTTCAGTTCACATTTTTGTAACAGACTTCCTGAAAGGCTATTGGTAAGCACAATGAAGTCGTAACTTTTTGACTGCAGTCCCATTACACTGCCCTGAATGCCCAACACTGGTCTCCAGCTTCAAGAAAAAAAGGCACTAGAGGGTACAACTCTTCTTGATATGATTGAAATATTGAATTGTGTGATTATGTGCCAATAAAAACTTTTAAAAGAAAAAAGCATTAGGACAGACACCTAGGTTTTTATATTGTGCCTGAACTGTGCATTCTAGCACGCTAAAACCCCTTCGAGAGGGAAGAAAAAAAAAAAGGAAATTCTCCCATTAAAGATTTTTTTGCAAGCTGACAAATTTAATCATTTCTTTACCCCCAGGTGCAATCACATAATCCAGTGCTATTTAAAATCAGCTAGAAATCACACTGAAACTACAGTACATTGACAAATATTAAATTTATTATAACTAGAATGAATTTAATGGGTCTCAGATTTGGCCACCTTATAGCTCCGGAGGAGGAGGGGATTTTTTTTTTAACAGAAAAAAATGCATTATAAACTTGGTCAGATTACTTACACATTAAAAAAAAAGTAAGAACCAAAAAACCCCAACCAACTTCTAAAAAGGAAAAGAAAAACAAACCCTAAGATTCACATAATTAAAGAACAGGAGAAAGCACGCAAGCCTACAGCAGAGCTAAATTTACCAAACCAACCAAAGTCGGGGAGGGGGAGTTTTGTTCTCTTCTGATTATTTGTCGTAAAAAGGTCCACGGTCTTATATACACAGGTATATAATGTTACATTCCGTCACGGTAAAAAGTCCCCTCTCCGCCCTCCCCCCTCCCTCCCCCGAAGTTTCCACTAGTCTCCGAACTTGGAGAGGGGCGCTCGCTCCTGCGGCCGGTGCACGTCGTTCTGGGCCAGCAGCTGCAGGTTCTCGGCGCGCAGCCGCTCCAGCTCCAGCTCCAGCTCCCGCACCCGCGCGTCGTCGCTGCCCAGCCGCTTGCTTTCCAGCCGCAGCCGGTTGTTCTCGTCCTCCATGCGCGAGAGGCACTTCTCGAGCTCCAGGTACTCCTTGATGAGCTCCTGCTTGCTCATGTTCTGCAGGCTCTCCGCGTGGTACCGCTCGTACGTCTCCGAGAAGTCCCGCTGCAGAAACTCGCTGCCGTCCCCTCCCATGCCGTCGCTGCCCCCGTCCTCCTCACCTCCCTCTTCCATGAAGTCCTCGTCGCTGGTGTCGTCCGACTTGGTGGCAGCCCGCTTGGGGTAGAGGCCGGTTTTGAGGTCCGGCTCCTCCTGGTCGTGGTCGTCCATGAGGAACTGCGTGGTGTTGTAGGGCGCGACCGGCTGACCCTTGGCGAACATCTCAGCTCGCACCCTCGAAGCTCGCTGGCTCTGTTTCTCGTCGAACTTTTTTTTCTCCTCCCAAGTCAGCTTGTAGTACGGTTTCCAGTGCCGCTTCTTCTTGGAGGGGCGTCGCCGATGCTTTTTCTTGCCCAGCTGTCTCTGCTGCTGTCCCCACGCCTCCTCGCCCCGGGAAGGAGGCGCCCCCAACTTGTTGGCCTCGGGGTCAAGACAAGGGTGAACGGGTGGCTCGGCTTCGGGCTTCGGGTCCCCTGGCGCCGCAGGCAGGGAGGCCCCGCCAGCAGACAGGTCGTCCCCGTTCTGGCCCTGCTCTCCCATCTCTGGGTAGCTGGGGTCCGGGCAGACCTGGGTCAGCAGAGGAGGTGGCTGGGGCGCCTGGCTCCCTTCCCCCTCTGGCCCCGGACGGCCGCCGGGCTGGGGGGACGCTCTCGATTGCCACCTACTGTCGTCCTCGGGCACCCGCTCCTCGGCGCCCGGGGGGCGCTCGGGGTTCCGCTCTTCGCGGACAGCAACAGCAGCCCCAGCACCTGTACAGTGGCTAGTCTGCGGCCGGTGCTGACACTCTGACAGGAGTGGCTCGGCCATGGCCAAGAGTCCTCTTCTCGAAGTTTGAAAATTTCTGGCCGTAAGTCCTTCAGGAACAAAGATTTTTCCTTTCTTTTAAAAAATGTCCAACGGAGTCCTTTCCGGCCAGTAATTCTTGCAGTGACGTCTTCAGCAAGTCCGGTCCTTCTGCCAGCAAACTCCCAATTGCAACTTGGGGAGTTCAAGTCACCAAAGGGTTAAGAGCCCTCAGCGTTGCCAGCTGGTGGGTCCAGAGAGGTGTAGCGGCAGGAACAGTACGTAATGTTCGGAAGCGGAGAAACCTGAAGCGAGATCTCTGCAGAGCACTCCCACGATCGAAGAGTTGGTGGGCAAAGAGAGGAGGTCCAGCTCAAAGGGTTAAACCTAGCCCCGAAGGGGTTAAAACTACCGATGACGCTGCCTCGGAGGGGCCGGATGCACAAAGGGTTAAATCCCTTGCCGCAGAGCCCACAAGGGGTTAAAGTCCCTGAGCCACCTCCTCCCACTTCCACGGGTGTCGCTCCAACCCGAGCTCCCAGTTCCTTAGGCCCGGCCGGAGCCTCAGCTAAGGACAGACAAACTCATCTCCCCTTTGGCTCGATGCTCTGCTCAGTTCTCCTCCGCCTCCTCCTCTTTTCCTCCCTCCCTCCCTCCCCCTGCCGACAGCTTCGCTTCCGCCTCCTCCCTCAACTTCCCCTCCCAACCTGCCTCTCCACCTGCCAACTTCCAACTGCTGTCTCCCAGTCCTCTGCGCCTCTTTTATATAGAAGCCTAGGCGCTCCGCCCTTGCGCATGCGCGATGGGCTCTCCATGACAGGAAGCCGGGAGTCGTAGTTCCTATCTTTTATGCCCGCCGTCCTCGCGCGCCAGGCGACGTAGCCAATCCCAGGACGCGTAAGGGACGTCTCCCAGGCTCACTCCTTCCATCGCTTATCCCTTGCTATGGAAACGTGAGTGGTCATTGGCCAAGATTTGCACGGCTTACTGGAAAAAGAAGACCAATCACAGCGAGGATGGGGCGGGTTCTGGACCGTACCATTATGCCTCAGGAATGTGAGGAGATTCGGTGGCCTATGAGGAAGCCACACAGCATATTTTTACGGAAAGGTGCGTTTTAAAGGATATTATCTTATTTTATTCTAAGCGGAAGGGTTATGAAAGTCACAAGCATTTGTGAACTAAAGAATGAATGGTTTATTCCTAAAAAGTAGTCCCCAAAGTGTAAAAGAGGATTAAATTCTTTAAAGAGAGAAGTTGGCCCAGAGCTATTAACTCTCAGCTCTTAAGATTATAGTAATGGTTTCACTGTGTGTGGGTTGTCCTGGAATCGGCATTTGCGGAAGGATATCGTGAAAATTCGGAGGTTTTTTTTAATAAAACGAAAAGCGCATCAAGAGGTAAACAAATTAATAAAAAGTGCCGCCTTAAAGGGGAAGTGTGGCTGCGTTTAGTTAGCCATCTCGGACTAGGCCGTGGAAAATGAGGAACCGAGTTCGAGTCCCGAGTGACGCTGACCCTCCATCCGCCACCCCCACCCCCGCCCCCTCAATCGAAGGCAGTCTCTTTCCAGCGCTGCCACTGGCCTCGTTTCAGGACCACCTTAATCCAAGAGGCGCACGCGGAACGGTGCTCCGCGGCCGCACCTCCCCTGGGTGAGCAGAAAGCTCGGGGCCAAAGCCTGGGCCTTGCCGCTTCTGTCGAAGAAAATGGCCTCTTGGGGCCTCCTGGTCTCTTCACTTCCGACCAGGAGCGTTTCCTGAGGCCGGATGGGGGAGTCCAGCCAGCGGAGCAGCCTCTTTGTTGAGGAGGGGTTTGAAATTAAGAACGAGTTGCAGTGATCCGTCCTGGCTCATGAAAGCACGTCTACCGAGGCCCTTCCTCATCTTGGCGCTGGGCAAGACCTGGAAGGAACCAGAAGCTTCCCCGAGGAAGAGGCAGCCTTTTCCTGAACGGGGGTAGGGGGGCGGTGTGAAAGGGGGACATTTCGGCCCAGGACTGTGGGCAAGCTGCGGGGCGGGGGCATGTTTTCCCGGAAGACAGATTTTCCAGACTCCAAGCCCTGGCCTGAAAGCATTCTTAATCCCGATTTCTCCACACCTCCTCGGTGTTTTTCACTAGTAATCCCCTCCACATACCTACACTTTCTGTTACACACGGAATCATTTGACCACACCACAGCCCTGTGAGTTAGGCAAGGTAGGAATGAGCATCTCCATGTTAGAGCTCAGAAATCTGCGACCCAGGAACTAGAGTGACTTGTCCAAGGTCACATGACAGTTGACTGCTGCTGTCAGTCAGCTCGAGTGGTTTCTGTCACCCTATGCCCATTTTTCATTGTCACCATCCCCTAAAGTCTTTTTCCTCCAGAACTCTGAATGTAGTTCCTTTTCCTTCCCAACAGCTCCAGCCTAATTTAGGCCAGTGGTCCTTCGCTGGCAAACACTTGTTGGGGCGAGGAGGTGAATGAAATGTCATCCCTGCCCATAGGTTGTTCATGAACTGTGTAGCATGGCCACCGAATTACAATTGGACAGGAAGCTCCAAAACGAGAAGTAAAGATCTTAGTAGGAGCTTGTGAGCCAGGCTGTGCAGTTGGGAACCGTGGACAGGGTATATAAAGGAAGAGACTGTGGGGCTGGTTGCTCCTGGATGAAAAGTCTTTCCCGAAAGGCAGTGCATTGTGGGAAGAACAAGCACGCATCCTGTCCAAAGGGGATTTGCCTGGGATCTCTGGAGTGGTTCTGTAGGACAGGTAGGTAAGTGGGCAGGTGCTGATGGACAAACCCTGTTGTAGATTGTCTGCAAAATGAGAGGTAAGCAAATGTCTCTGGGTACATCAGATCCTTTGAAATTGACCATACCTTTAAGTGGAGAGGAAATGTTTTGAGAACAATGAGGGCAATGAATGTACAAATGCGCTTTACACAATTGATGTGTGTATGGATTGTGATAAGAGTTGTATGAGCCCCTAATAAAATGATTTAAAAAAAAAAGAAATTGACCATACCAGCCTCGCATTCCTGTTTTCTCTGGACTTCAGGGGCTCAAAAAACAAGTTGATTCCAAGTCATAGTGACCCTATTGTACAGAAAACTTCCCTCGTGGGTTTCTAATACCGACAGTTTAGGAATTAAAAAACCTCATCTTCCTGACGCCGAGGGGCTGGTGGTTTTGAACTGTTGACTTTGTGCTTAGCAGCCCAAAGCATAGACCAGTTGTCTAAGAACTCAGATCTACCTGAAAAACTTACCTTGTGCTTCAGCATCTATCAGGCAGGAGACTGATTCCCTGAAGGCAAGAACTGACCTCAATACTGAGAGTGAGAAAGAGGAAGACAGTGGCTGCAACAATGGCGTCCACATGAGTGTGTCTGGGGATCGTGCCGGATGGGCAAATTCATTCTGTTGTGCGCAGGGTCACTGAGAGCCGATTTAAGAGCACCTGACAACAAAATATGGCAACACCCTGAGGTAAGAGTTTGCAGAGTAGTCAGCTGGGGGCTTCCAAATCTTTTTTTTTAAATCATTTTATTGGGGGCTCATATGATTTTTTAAAAATCATTTTATTGGGGGCTCATATAATTCTTATCACAATCCATACGACATCCATTGTGTCAAGCACATTTGTACATTTGTTGCCCTCATCATTCTCAAAACATTTGCTTTCTACTTGAGCCCTTGATATCAGCTCTTCTTTTAACCCCCTCCCTCCCCGCTCCCCTCTCCCTGAGGGTTCCAAATCTTGACTAGAATTTCAGGTTACTAGTGAGGGCATTTGGATAATAAAGATCTGTTCAGCTTCAGCTTCCCGCCGGGGGTCGGTCTCATTTGTCAAGTGGTGGTGGCGGCAACATTGTTGGCAGAAAGATAGCCAGACTGATAGATTTTGTGGAACTTTACAGAATTCTATGAAAGAATGAGCCAGACTCCTCCTTGTTAGCTGAGTTCTAAATCTTGGCCAGGCATTTTGCATGTCCTAACCGACCCCGGTAGAACTGTCAGGTAAGCATTGAACTGCTAACCTAACGTTCACCAGTTCAGACCTATCCCGGAACATACGTATAGCCTAGGACACCCTGCAGGATCACTATGAGTTGAACAGCTTGCAGATGACCTAGTGCCAGGCCCAGGTCAGGGCCAAAGAGGGACAGGAATTCACTAGGTTAAGGGCCTCCCGGAAGGATCTTTTAAGTGGGCCCGGTGCTGGTAGGGAGGCCCCTGGGAACCCAGGGATGGGAGTTACAGGATTCTCTAGGCTGTTGTGGTCATTTGTTTGGTGGGACCCTGCAACCCAGTGACCCCCGAGGCACTGGGCACTAGGAGGCGCTGAAGAGTGGCAAGTTCTGCCAGCAAACTCGACAGTGGCTGGACGGGCAGAGGGACACAACAGAGCTGGCAATGGCTGGAGAAAATTTTATTTAGAACTCAAACCACCTGCAGGGGTCAACAGCAGCCAGAGATGCATGAACTCTGCGGGGTGGTCAGTCCCCCTCCCCTGCCTTTTCAAGGGAGGCTAGGCTCCCAGGGTCTAGGCCCGGGTGTTCCAGAAAGTTTCCTGGGGAAGTCCGAGTGCAGCAGTCAAAGCGAGCCGCTCCGGCAGGCAGACGGGGGCTGGAAGGGGCGCAGGCTGTCGCCAGCACCGTGTTCCCTCCCGCCCCGCCTCCGGGCTTGGCGCGCCCTACCCGCACCCCTCAGCCCTGTGGGCGGGTCCCGGCTGCACGCTTGGCCCCACCCATCCCTGTGGCTGTAGTTGGCCCCGCCCTAGGAGAGGGGGCGCCCCGCCAGGCCTTCCTCCAAAGGAAGGCTAGTTTTCCCTTCTCTTGGCCGCTTAGAGAAATGGAAACTCATGTAAAAGCACCAGCCCCAGCCTCCCGTGACCTTTCACTAGGGGCTGGGGGTGCGGGGCAGGGACTTCAGTCTCACGCAAGCCGGGCTTCTCGCCTCACTCGGTGGGAGCACAGACGGCAAAAGATGAAGGCTCTCTTTTATTTAGTGAAACATTCCTTTGAAAAGCAAATCTGTACCCGGGAAGACGTCCTGAGTCTGTGTAGAGGGTGGTGGTGGGGATGGTGAGGGGGGTCAAGCAAAAGGACTGCTTACACCCCTCCCTTCGCCCCACCCCTCCCATGCCCAGCTGCCCAGCCAATCATTAGTCCAGGCTCCAGCCCAAGCCCCAACTTGCCCCAGAGTCTCCTGGGAGAGGTGTGGAAGGAGTCAAGTGGGCTGGGCTGGGACCCAGGAGTCCCGCCCAGGAACCTGCTCAGCACTGCAGGAGGGAGGGGGGCAGTAGTGGAGGTGGCCTCCAGTCAGGCGCGGATGGGGGTGATTCTTTAAGGCCTGGAAACTCTGGGAAGGCCCAGGGCGAAGCAGAACGGGGCGGCGGGGACCCTGGCCGCCTCAGTTGGCTGCAAAGACCCCTCCATCGAGAGTCACCTCTTCTGGGTGCGAAACTGTCTGAAGAGCCACTGGACAACGAAGGGCCACAGGAGGATGAAGAGCAGCGTGGGGCCCGGGAGCCTGAGGGCCCAGGGACGGGCACTGGGTGGGGGCATCTGCTGTCAGGAGGAGAGAGTCAGGACCTCAGCACTGAGCACTCCTTAGGTTAGTGGGAGATCTGCACCCCCACCCCCCACCTCCCTAGGCCTCTGGATCTTTAAACTGCTTCCAACAGCCTCCTCCCCAGGGCAACCCATGGGCCCAGGAGGGGCTGCCATCTGGAGGGGTGGCTTCCCTGGCTGTATCTGGGCCACAAAGCAATGATCAGAAGAGTTCATATTGCCACATATTCCCAAGGAGGTCCCTGGACACTGCAATGTTTTGTTTCTCAATAGCATTTCCCACTAAAAGAATCCAGGGTTCCTCAGAGAAGTGGCTGATGCCAGGTCTGGGGTGGTGAAGGCAGCGGTGGCTGTGAGCCATCTTGGACCAGGAAGCAAGGAGCTTCGGGGGGTTCATGAGGTCCTGTTAGATGGGCACTAGGCAAACACTAGTTAGGGCACACGGTGAATCAAATGTCATCCCTGCCCCTAGATTGTTTATGAACTAACGGTTACATATCGGGCTTGCTAACCACAAGGTCAGCAGTTCAAAACCACCAGCTGCTCCACAAGAAAAAGCAGGAGCTTTCTACTTCCATAAGGAGTGCCAGTCTTTAAAAAGTTGCAATCTTGGAAACTCACGGGCAGTTCTGCCTTGCCCTATAGTCTCGCTCTGAGTCAGAAGGGACTCAGTGACAGTGAGTGTAGATTGTGTTTGTCACAGGACATAGGCTGAAAGGGGTCTCCTCTGGCCCAAGCTGGGACTACCAGCAAGGATTGCAGTGATTGAAATACAGAGCCTCCAAAGCCCATGAGTCCGTAATACTCAAGAGAGAGAAAACGGGCACTTTGTCGCCCCCGAGCTGACTTTTAAATCAACTCATTTCAAAATAGAGAAAAAAAATAAGTGCTTATCCCACCTTTCCATAAGGCACTCTCTTTGAGAGAAACCCTTTGATTATCAGAGAAAGTTCTGCTTGACAGTAAAATGGCAGCTAAAAATGTTAAGGGAATAATGAATTTTCAAATCTTTTTTTTACAATCCCTAAGTAAATGATTGATTCAGGCAAGGAACATCAGTTACTGTTAAAAACCCTGTGGGGTTACCAGGGCACAGGACATTTGTGAAGTGCTAAGATAACACAGGCCAGAATACTCCCTGGCTACCGAGGGCAATAGGCCTTGCCAAGGATGGGTGCAGCCTGTGGCCCCAGTCTATGCAAGTGGCCCCTGTTAGAACACTACTGGTGGGACATGAAGGGCATCGTCAGGGCTATCACAATCTGGTCAAAGCCACCTAACGGCTCTGGCTAGCCCTGATAGCTAACAGGTCAGCAGTAAACTGTATTGAGGAATGAGCTAAATGCCGCCAGGAGGATACAACACACCACAAAGGACGGAACCGACTAGAGGACTGCTGGCCCTTTCTCATCAACATGCCAGTGGCAGGGAGAAGGGATGAGAAGAAACTTAAGGAACATAACATGCAGTGTGTGGTACTGAACTGGACAAAGAAGCTGGGAGGGCAGTCTTGGAACAACAGGGGAAATTGGATTTGGATCTGGTATTTACTGATAAGCTATTGCTAGCTAATTGCGTGACACAGGATGGTCTGGCTGGGCAGTGGGAAATCCTTGTTGAGGTAGACCCCAGTGTTTAGAAGTCCACCAGGAGGAGCTGCAACTCATGGGGACCCTGGGGGTCAGAGTAGAACTGTAGAGAGCAGACCTCCAGGCCTTCCATGGGACCTCTGGGTGAACTCAACCCTCTGGCCATTCAGCCAGCCTCCAATCATGTTAACCACTGCACCAGCCAGAGAGCCCCTTGCGGTCTATGACCCACTTAGCATCCAGCCATGTGAAGCTGTCTAAAGTAAGAGAGTACAGGCCTGGGTAGATAGAGCTGCTGGAAAGGGGCTGGTTTCCCGTGGGTCTGACAAGCACTGTGCTGAGTAGGTTCTGGGTAATCTGAAGGACAACTCCCC